GGAAGCAAAATACCCACCAGCTGCATCCCTTGTTTTCAAGGTTGACAGGCTGCCAGGAAAAGGCAGTAAGCTCTCCTATTTGCCAGAAAAACATGCCAGCGGGCAGTGTGCTCAAAGTCCTTCCTCCAGGGCAGACAGTGTGTCCTACAAGTGCACTATCCCCCAGCCCCACAGTTTTTTATGGGATTATTTCAGCACTGTCAAAGCCCACCTTTGTCTCCAGTTGACTTCTCAGAGTAGCCAAAGGACAAATTCGTTTGGGTACCAAATTCAGTTGCACATTTAGGACTTAAGACGAGTTCTTCAGTGGCTGCTAAGGCTTTACCTACTACTTCCAGTACTGTCTTTAAAGTTTTTGAAAGCAAAATACAGTCATTGGAGATACTAAGTATATTTACCTAAACCAAAGCTAGAAATACTGAAGAAAACACACTGCATGAGGGCAGTACTACTGTCTCCCCATTCTCCAAATTCTAAGTTATTCTGGGATGCTTAAAGCCATCTTTCTAGAAAAGCTAAGCTACCCCCTAAAAGTAGTTTCCAGATCATCATTTAAGGACATTGAAATTATTTGTGAAATCATATACACAAAACAAAAAGCACAAAGTAAATTGGTCTGACAATGGTTAAAAAACTGTTTGCTTATTTAACCAAAAGGGTTTTTGTTGGTTTTTTTTCTATAATTTGAATGTGTAGCATCTGCATTGTACCCTCCATGAATCAGAAAGAAAACCTTTACACAGCCTCAGCTTACACAGATCCATCAACCAAAGAATTGGGAACTTAATTATTCATTGCTGGTTACTATCATCACTCCTGACACAAATTCTGTATCTCTAATTACATAACGCTCCTCTGAAAAGCAAGATGCCAATGAATTTGACTGCATTACTTTCTCACATTTCTGATTTCCAGCGTAATTTGCCTTCTCAAGGGAAAGAATATATACCTGTACCTTTTAACCAGGCCTTCCTTTCCTTTTTTCTGTGCATACTCCAGAAATAAATGTTTTCCTTCAGTATTATCTGGCCCAATAATAGTGTTTACAGACAGTTTTCAGATATTCTCTATGGGAAATTCAGGCTCTGCTAGAACTTAGGGCAGTTCAACTGTTTCAGTCACATACAACTTCTTTTCTGTCCTCTCTATGTCTATTCACTTAATCCTGAAAGTGCCTAGCACTGTCAGTGGTCAATACTGGGCTAAGTTTTCCAAGTCGTGTGATTCATAGAAATGCAGAGCCTTACACAAAGAAAATAATATATCAATAATGTAGAGGCATTGTAGATGACTAGTTACCCTGTAGTTGCTAAGAAAATGGTTTACAAAAGTTAGCACATTCATCTGAAGTTGTAAGTGGTGAACCCTTCCCCACATTTTTGCTTTGCAATTTTAACTAAGAGATCAAATACACAACAGCATCTCTCAAATGGCACTGATTTTTATACATTTTAAATGTATTTTTGAATATACATGTGAGAAGAAAATAGACAGGACTACCTGACAAGCTGGAGCTCAGGTTCCCATCAAGATCTGGAAGCCTCTAAAAGTGTCAGGATGACTCATTTATAACACCTGGCCTATTCAGAAGGCCAATGAAGGCAGTTTTTAAGGACTGCTTTGCACATGAACACAGAATGACAAGAAAATACACTTGCTCAGGTCTTGATTCCTGCCTGCATCATAGCCTTTGTCATAAAATATATTGAGATTTCAGTCTGAAGTGCTTGCTGGCCTGGGAGGGCCAGAGTGGTTTAATCAGATGCATCTGATGTGCAATCAGATTCTTTTATTTAATATTTACCATAGAATCAGATGCTGAACTAAACAGTAATCACCTAATTAACTCATGCTTAGCATAGATTCCCATGTTCCCAGTGAAAGAAGGGCACAGACTAATATTTCTATATGTTCCTGTGCCATGCAGTTCAGTGCTACAGTCTCTGTTCCTCAAAAGGGAAAAATAAGAGAGGCTTTTATTTTATCTTTTCTGCCTTCATGTAACATTTCTGCAGCATCCCCTAATTGCTACTGCAGGAATGTTTGATTACCCAAGACAGCTCTAAAGCGAATGTGGATTTTATGCACCAAACAAGCAGATATACAGTTGTTCCGTTTACATTCCTTCAGTCAGTCATTCCTAATTTCTTTTCACTTAGTTTTCAGAAATGCAATCAGAACATTACAAAACTCAGTTCTTTTTGAAAACACTATCAATTTTTAATCTTGTCAAGGTGAGAGTATGACACTGTTTCTGTCAGAAGTCACAGTTAAGTATTCACTGAAAACTCCAATGAACTCTGTAAGGGAATATGGCATTTAGTTCCCACTGTTGTTTTGCTTCTCACATCCTCACGTTGAACAAAAGTTACTGTCAGCTTTTCAATGTAATGACTGAAAACACCAACCACTCTAAATATTTATGACTGTAGCTATTCTGGGACAACAGTAGCAAGGAAGTCCAAGTGAAAAGGGTTCGTAATTCCACCTCTTCAACAAAGCAAAACATTCAAGTATTAGTTTGCTGTTCAAAGGAAGATTTTCACTAAAAATACTTTACCAATTTTATATGTTTCCTACATTTGCCTGAACTCTAGAGTTATGATTTCACCTGTTATTAACTGAATATAGTGACTGAAGTCCTCTGGGTTCACCTTGAGCAACTTGAAAATTTGAGTATTGCAATATATGAAACAATCAAATAACACAGCTAAATATCCCCTCTGCAGCATAACTACACAAATATTGCTGTTCTTTTTTTGTCACTTTCTATGAGGAATCTCCACAAAGATGTGTATTGACAACAGACCAATCAATGTCAGAAATAAATAGAAGAGCTTGCTACCCATCAAATGAGTGTTTTTCCAATAAATGCCCTCTTCCCTTAGAGCACAAACCTACCTAGTACATGATTAAAAGGCAGATTAAAAAAAAAAAGATACATCCCCCCCAAACAACCCAAAACTTCTCGACTATTCCAACCTCATGTTATGATTTTGAAAGAGGCTAACTCATGATAAAATATTTCCCCTAGAGGTTTCCCTAGCCCATAGTAGTTTGACATAAACTTAGAAAATGAACATATCCTTTTTTTCTCATCACAGAAATCAGACCAGTACCACAGAATGTTTCAGAACACTTCTAAGAACTAAAAAGCACAATCTTAGAAGACAGGCTATACTGAAGTCTTAGTTATTACCACATTAAAAAAAAAGAAGTCAACTGATCTCATAACTGTTAAGAAAGATAATTTCACATCAGTACACGATGACAAAATACCACTGTAAGATTTCTTAGAGACATAAGGACTTGCTGTATCACTCCCACATTCTCCTGTAACAGCAGAATATGTTACTTTCACAAAGACAGTAAATATTAAAGTGGTGAGATGTGCTTTGGTGTGATGGCTTCCACTTGCACTACGCAGCACTTCACCAGCAGAGCGCGACAATGAAGTGACACGAAGTACTCTGCTGCTACTCTGAGCTCTGGAGGGAGCTCAGTAAAGGCTGCCTTGGATCAACTGCTTGTCCAATGCAGTATCTCTTGAAAGGTTTTATATGTGTTAGTTAATTCAATATAATGACACGAGCATGTCTTCAGATATGGTGCCACCACATTCTAAGAGACACAGACTTCTATCAAACTTCAGGTTCTTTCTTCAAAGTTTCAATTTTGGTGCAAAAAATTTATTAATGAACACCTTCTTCATCGTTGAATTTTACTGTGCACATTCAACCTGCACTCATTTTGGTTTCAAAATTTTCACCATCTTTACAGAAAAATCTGCTTTTTGTCACATGACCTATTTTTTGTGTGAGCTGACTCAATGGGACTATGTCAGTTAGAACAGCTTTGTCCTGTTTTCTGCCTGAAATTCATACACAGCCTTTTAGTCTTAACTCCATTTCTAATTAAAAAAAAAATAAATCCCATTAAAAATTTTATTTAAAAAAATTCCCATTTAAAATTTTAAATGTTGAGACAACTTCTACTTATGTAGAAACCCCCCATCCTTGAGGCTTATTTTGACAAGTTGAATACAGAGAGGGGGAGACCTTGAGACTTCGGAAGATAAATCATCTGCATAAACATAAATGAAAAATCAGAGTCAAAGAAGTAGTATTGAAGAGGAACACGAGTGTTTTAAAGCCAAGCTCAAGCAGGACAGAAACTTTCTTTTTAAAGACAGGATTAGAAAATTCTAAAAAAACCCCTCAATCAACCCCCTCCCCCCAATTATTTTTCACTGATAACTGTTTACAACTTATTATCTTCCATAGCATTATCTAACTTTAATAATGGCTAACATTTAGTCTTTACATTCCCCCTGATGAAATACTGCTTATCACTTGTGCCTTTTTCTTTTATTAGATTTCAGATCACAATGTGCTTTACCTTTAACAAAGAAAGAAGAAAAAAATGTTTTGTTCCTGTGGTGGCGTAAAATAACGTAAGGCCTTCATACAATTCCAAAATATTTAAATGTATATGCAATTGAAGATGATTGCACATAATCACATACATTTATTTTCATTTTTTTGAAAGCTATGCCAGGCATGAACAAAATTACTAAAAGAAAATATCCCCAAGAACAAATGTGGCTCTGTAGACTATAGATGTATTAATATAAATATATTCCTCCTCAAAACACATTCCAAACTGAACTTATAGCTCAATAAGGAAGACATATTTCCATCTTAAAGTTATCAGTAAATATTTTACTAGAAGTCTCCTGGCACATTTTCAACTCTGACTCAACATTTACATACACTTTTCAGCAATCTGCTTCCACATATAAGTGAAGGATCCTAAAATACACTTTAACACCAGAGTTTGGATTGCAATCTCATGAGGCCAAACTACAATACTACCTTAGATCTAGATATAATCAGACAAGGCAGTAAGAGTCTTTCTGGGTACTTACCTGATACTGATAGGATGCCTGTTTCAAATGGATAGTCCAAGGAATGTTTCTGTACAACTAGCTTCCCTCTAACTTGCATGTTTCCTTGTACTACCTCCTGAGAAACAAAAACCTGCTCAAGTTGCTTAGGTAGAAATTTCTAATAAATTGTGGACCCCTGTATGTCCCAACATCTGCTGAAAGACTGTTCCTACATTTAAAGAAAAGTTTTTGTAAACGTAACAAAAAAAGTAAATCGGAGAATATTAACTCATTTGCAGACATCTCATTCACGCTGTAGACGTTTTGTTACATTAATTGCTTATTCACTCGATCTCCTGATTCCTTCTCCTTCTGGGAATCTTGACTTAAGAGAACTTGAATTTTGCTATCCCTGCCTTCAGTTTTACACAAGTTATTTTAAAGCCACCCTGCTTTGCTCATTTAAGTCTTTTGTGAACTTGATTTTTCAGGTCTCTTAGGCACTAATGCCCATGACGTCTTTCATTTAAAGCATATCCTCTGTAAACAGTTCAGTAGAAGTGTTCCTATTTTAGGGCTGATTCAGAATGAATTTCCAACAGGCAGCCTCAGTACTTAGCCAACTTCCACCCCTTCTCCCATTCTTCTAAGCCCCTTGCTCCTGCCAAAAGCCAGCCTTCTGCTGACAGTCTGATCTAGGCTGATCCCATGTGTTTAGGTCCTCTGATGTGAACCAAGAGTACCACACATGGCCACTTATTTGTCTTGCACCTGGTTCATAACCATGAGATCCAACTCTGCAAAATGAAGTTCAGCCACTGTTTGGCAGAACATACATGATTTCTTGAAAGACAACAACAACAACAACAAAGTAATTCATTGCATTATATAGCAAGTCAATTTGGCATCTATTTTAAGGGCAATTAGAGACCTTCACTGCTTTAAATTACCACATTCATTAGACAGTGTGCCACAGAAGACCAAAACTTCTCACCACTTAAATTTATTTCATGTCAGAAAAATACTTTTTGATGATCTATGTTTAGTACAGGGCTCTGGATGGCTTAAGGAGTCCTGGATACCTCACTGCCCCTCAGTGCACATTACCTTTCCAGGTGGAGCAGATGTCAAAGCAAACCCTGTGGGGAATCTGATATTCCCCAGGAGCAGACACAGTGATTCTCAGACATGGCTACGCTGGGCTGGGTTGTTGGGTTATTTTGAAGACTGCTCTTATTTACCACTATGTTACTAAGTTACTCGCTGCATCAACTATAAGAAACTTTTTTCACTATAGTCCAAGGGAGGCAAAAAGACAAATGATTCTCTTTGTGAAGTTAATTATTATCACATCCCAAATTTAGCTATTGTTTTTGCCTATACAACTATCTTCAGATATAATATGTGCATTAGAAGTGCATACAGAACATTCAAAAACCACTTCAAAATTACATATGGTATAGATGTATGCAGATCCTACTGATATTGATACACAACCCACACCATTCTAGTTGAAAGAAATCTTTGCTGGTCACATAGTTCCCCCTCCTGCTCAAAGACCCTTGTCAACAATGAATTCTGAGTTAACCACCCCTAAATTAAAAATTCAGTAGAGGTAAGGGCAGACACCATTGGATGATTATATCTAGATCAGAATATAATGCTGCAATAAATGTTTGTACAAAGCTTAACTAAATGCCTAGGGATTCATATTCCAATTTTAATTTAATCAGAAGATAATGCTGAAGCACACATTTACAGCTACCTTTTCAGCTCAGCTCATATTTTGACTAGAACTCATTTATTTCTAAAAAATTCCCTCCGTGGTTTCATGAAAAATAATGTTAATGCTAAAAAGAAATATATAACAGTGAACAACAGTGCTGGTTTTGGCTGTACTAGAGTTAATTTTCTTCACAGTGGCTGGTATGGGGCTACTTTTTGGATTTCTGTTGAACACAGGTTCAGAAATATAGAGATGTTTTTGCTACTGCTGAGCAGGGCTTAAACAGACCCAAGGCCTTTTTTGGTTCTTATACTGCCATACTGGAAGGGAATTTTGGGGTCCACAGGAAGCTGGAAGGAGACCCAGACATGACTGGTGACCCAAACTGACCAAAGGGCTATTCCATATCCTATGAAATCATGCTCAGTATAGAAAGAGGGGGGAAGAATAAGAAAGGGAAGGACATTTGGAGGGATGATGTTTGTCATCCCAAGTCACCGTTACATGTGCTGAGACCCTGCTGTCCTGGGGATGGCTGAACACCTGTCTGCCCATGGGAAGCAATGAATTAATTCCTTGGTTTGCTTTGCTTGCATGTGTAGCTTTTGCTTTACCTATTAAACTGTCTTTGTCTCAACCCATGAGCTTTCTATCTTTGCCCTTCTGATTCTCTCCCTGATCTCACTAGTGAGGGAGTGGGTGAGTAGCTGTGTAGTTGTTGGCTGGGGTTAAAACATGATAACAACCTTTGAAATTTTTCTCCCTCTTTCGAACTGCAAATCTATTCACATGCCTAGAAAGTGCAGATCTGCTATGTTTGCTTTGCCATATTACATAAATCCTTCCACATACTTTACATAAATACTTCCAAGGTTCTGTATACTAGTTTCTGTAATTGTCACTGCCAGAAATATCCCAGCAAGTCAACCTAATTTTCCTATTTTTAAGGGGTGAAACTTGTACAGATCACCATAAATGTGATTATCAGTGCCAGTTTTGATGTGATTACATTACAGGTCTGACCAGAAGTCACGGGAAGTTTTTCTCATCCCAAAGTATATTCTTCTTGTGTAAGCTCAAGTACAGTATAGAGTGTTTTCTGTATCGATTAGTTGTCCACATGAAAGCAGGTACTCACGATCCAGGCAGAAGAATAGTTGTAAAAGAACCTGTTTAATTAAATTAATTTAAATATTATTTGTAGCAAATGATGTATGTAGCTAGCACCAGTAACTCATTAATATAAATAACATGAGTTATTAAACTAATTGAATGTCTCTATTAGGAATGTGGATTATTGTTAAAAAATAATTATCTACAAATAAAAGAAATCATATGACTATACACAAATGACTAACTGGCAAGAAAGAAAAGGAAGGGTTGTTACAAGATGAACTATCTCATCCATTATGATGGCAATTGCCATTGATCAACGTTTGATGGTCCCCATGTCAGGACTCCTGGACCAAACAGGTAAAAGCTCACACTACAACAAAGCACTGCTGCAGGGGTGTGGGGATGAGGTAGGCAAGGAGGTAAAAAACATTATCATTCTTATTCAGTAGAAGAAAAAAAAATAAAAAAATTGGATGCAAGTTCTTCTCTTATGCCCAAAGCTGAAGAAAACTGAGAAAGATTTTGTTGCTGAGTGTATGATTTGTATCACCTTCAAACACAAGACTTTTTTTTTTTTTTTAGTCTGTTGATTCAGCTTCTTTTCAAAAGCCAATTAAAATATAAATAAAACACAGTCTACACAAGAAAAGCGACGTGATTCTGGATACATCTCATTTTGATTTTTCTTTTACAGGCAATATGACAAGCTCTCAGAATTTAATTTCCAATTGCCTGGAAGTAAACATCTTAATTTCTCAGCTCCCGAAGACAGCTATCTTTTCTGACTATTCTTTTCCCTTAAAAAGAAAATCTTTCTTTTTTCTTTTCCAAATTATGTAGATGGGAGTGTCCTGCCAGTTAAATCTTACAGATAATAATAATTATAAAAATCCCATCAGGAAAATTGAAACCACAAAAGTTTTTATGATTCCTCTATCTAAACCACAGTCTGACTAATGTGCTTATGCTTTGATCCACTTTTTTCAACACCTGAGCTTTTGAATTGAAACAATAAAAAGTGATTCTTTGTTGAATGGATGGTCAATCAAAAAAAGTTTGCTTTAGATTTAGCTTTGCTGTTTCTTGTCTTTGTTTTCATGTAGTTTTATATATATATATAGATATATGAGTTAGTTGGACCTATGTTCACCTGAGCAATAATACAGTGTTTCACCTTTTTTGGCATGTCCGGATGCAAATCAGTGATGAGAGGCATCCCTCAGGGGTCTACTGGGACCAGTACTGTTTAATATCTTTATGAAGTACTGTTTAATATCTTTAATATGGGATGGAGTGCACCTCCAGCAGGTCTGTAGAGGACACCAAGGTGAGTGATGTGTTTGACATGCCTGAAGGACAGGACACCACCCAGAGGGACCTGGATAAGCTTGAGAAGCAGGCCCATTGAAATCTCACTCTAACAAGACCAAGTATCAGGTCCTGCACTTGGGTGAAATCAATCCCCAGTATCATCCTGGAGGATGAACAGATCCAGAGCAGCCCTGCCCAGAAGGACTTGTGGGTGCTGAGGGGTGAGAGGCTGGACATGAGTTGGCAGTGGTCACTCCCAGCCCAGAAAACCAAACGTGTCCTGGGCTGCATCCAAAGCAGCGTGGCCAGCAGGGGAGGGAGGGGATTCTGCCCCTCTGCTCTGCTCTGCTCTGCTCTGCTCTGCTCTGGTGGGACCCCACCTGCAGGGCTGCACCAGCTCTGGGGTCCCAGCACAGGACAGACATGGGCCTGATGGATCAGCTCCTGAGGAGGGTCACCAAGATGATGAGTGGTGTGGAGCACCTCTCAAAGGCTGAGAGAGTTTGGGTTGATCAGCCTGGAGAAGACTTCAGGGAGACCTTATAGCAACCTTCAAGTACCTAAGGAGGGCCTGCAAGAAAGATGGGAACAGATCACAGCAGGGCCTGTTGCAATAGGACAAGGGGCAATGGTTTTAAACGGAAGGAGGGCCAGTTAGGGTTAGGTTAGATACAAGGAAGATGTCTTTTTTACAATTATGGTGGTAAAACACTGGCACAAGTAGCCTAAAGAAGTTGCGCATGTCTCATGCCTGGAAACATTCTTGACTAGGTCAGATGAGATTCTGAGCAATCTGTTGAAGATGCTCCTGCTCATTGCAGGGGAACAGACTAAGTGGCCTTTAAAGGTCCCTTCCAACCCAAACCACTCTATGATTCTGTATAATACAGGGCTACCCATCAGCTTTTTACAGAAGCATTTTAGCACGGTGTTTCAATGGTATCTGTTTAAGGAATTTATTGTAAAAACCACACAAACCCACA